TTTGTTTTGCCAGATTATACAATGGACACATCACAGTGCTTTTTCCTGTTCTTAGCCTTCAATTTCCTTTGGCGAAATATAAATCCATTAGCTTGCTCCACGCCCTTAATTAAGAGCACAGAACATTAATAAAACTCAAAATGAGCATGCATCTTGGACTCACGCAAGCTAGCTCCTAAATCCTGCACTTGTTGATTTAGATTCTATCATTTGATCACAACATTTCTCACAGCATCTTACAGGAATGTGTGAGGAACAACGAGAGATGAAACGCTCCAAGTGAAAGGGTGCAGATCCCTAAATGCCTGATTCACAAGGAAAGCCTCAGCAATAAACATCCTGCTGTGCACAAAGTCCTTACACAGATTCCTGCTTTCTTGCAATTACAAAAAGGCAACCCTAACACCCACTAGCAGTCAGGGCTGACAGGTGGCAGTATGAACGTTTTTCATTAACATCTGATTCCACAAAAAGAGCTAAGTGAAGCTTCTGAGGGGGGAAAACAAGACATAAGAAACTTCATGAAAAGGAAATGTACTAATTTCCCTGACCAACAGCACTACTCCTAAAATCAACTTTAGTGTGCCATATCACGTAACTTTTTCTAAGGGAGAGCCCCTTAAAATCCAGACAAGGCTGTCACATGAAGCAATTAATAGTGAGGGTGTTTCAACAGTTTTGTTCCTTCAGTAACTGGTGTCCTGAAGCTGGTCAACACCAGGTGAGGCTAGCAGAGGATGCAGTGCTCAAATCACTTTGTAAAATCCTCTCAAGAATTTGTAGGTCTCTGGTTTACCTATCAAAAAAGAAATGAGAGGGAGAGAACGAATGGCAGTGATTTCGCTATGTACTTAAAAGTAGTCAAGAGGTTCTCCCCTTCAACATGTGAGTGACCTTTTTTCCTTCATAAGAAAGCTTCTTTTTTTACATGAACCTGATAGGTCAGTTTGTCCTTCACAGCTTAAGAGGCGGTTTCAGCCACTAATTGCTTCTGGTTAGGAAAAAAGATACATTTATTCCACAACTATGGCTCTCAGCCTTTAAAATCCAGAAAGGTCAGAGTGCTTATGGGGTTTTCTGTTTGTTTTGTATCAGTAACAGAAGGCAAAAGCAGACAGCAATGCAGATAAGCAAATCAGCTCTAAATCCATGGAGCTCCAGAAATGGAAACAGCCCGGTTGTCATAGCAGCAGAGCATGCTACCTGAGCTAATTACTCAGTCTGAGAGGCAGAGCTAATTAGCCCAGAAGCAGCATCACACTGACACAGATCCTTCAGGGACCTGGGCACACATCCTGCTGATGAGACATTTCAGCTTGCTTGCAGCTAGCGCAAAAGAAAAAAAAGTTCCTTCAGATCAGAAAGCAATTGAAAAGAGCTCTGAAACAAACACAGCAGACTGACGCTGAGCTGCAACTCCATCGCGGAGGACAGCTGTATCCTCACTGCCACAACCAAACTACCAAATCTGCACTGGCAAACTCAGTTGCACGGATGTACTTATCCCCTCCTGCCCAGTGGAAGCTCCTTGAGTAACCAGTTTAACACCACAACATCCTAAATTCTATAAGCTCCCTGTTACTTAAGAATGCAAACTGCTGCATTTAGTTTCTGGCAGAGCTGGAAGAATGCAAATACAACACCTGTGTCATGGACTGCAAATACTGTAGAAAACAAGTATTACCAAACAGACAAATCTTCTTCCAAGGACTGGAAACAGAATTTATTTATGGTTTTTCCAAAAGCAAAAGCTTTTTAAAAACTGAACACTAACTTTTTCATCTTTCAAAGCCACTATCTAACATAAGATCTTCCCTCTAGAAAATGAAAAGCATCTTAAAGTGGGAGGAAACAAGAAAATCCATTTATCAATTTGCCAGTTCTTGTCAGCCATTCTTCTTTCACAGAAACAGCACAGAACATCACAAAGAACACCACGTCAACAAAGTGTCAAAGGCAAGGAATTTTTACTAGAATTCTTAAGGAGAGTAAGATAAAGGAAAACTTGAACTGCTTTCATGTTTTTGTAATCAAAATCAGCAAAGGCAATAAACATAAATGTTGAGTGGGAAAACTAGTGGAAAAATGGTGTAAGGAATTATTTTAGCCCCTTTGAAAATCCAATTATTGGACAGAGATGCTTTTGTTAGGTTAACAGGACAATCATTTCATTCATAATCACCTTTAAAATACAGGAAAGATTACGGAAGTCATCCTGAAAATAATTCTCTCATGTTTTAATTGTCATTATTGCACAAACCAGAACACATACAGAAAGTAACTGATTAAATACTGCAAAGTGCTGACAAAGGATAAGCGGACACTTGAACATTTGGTTAATATTTATTGGGAGTTACACATATCTCACATGTTAGCCTGCACAATACATAACATCTTCTATTTCTAAATAATTTACATAATGTGCCTGCTTATTCCTATTTACAAGAGGTCACTTCTCATTTCAGGACAATCTCTAAGCAAAACTGAAGGATGCCAAAACTCATTCAAGCGTATGTGCTGCCCAATAGAATGGAATAAATGTGTAAAAATCACTATTTCTCTAATTATAAATATTTATGTCAGGTTCAATACTGTTGCTAAATAAAGCTATTACATTTGGTATCTAAACAGTCTCTAGTTAAAGCTTTTGAAATAAATGTCAAGCTAAGTGTATTTTACATATATTTCTATTTGCTAAACTTTCAAAGCTCCTTTGGGAGCCTCCTCCCAAGTTGTTTGTTGCTCTCCTTCCTTCAAGTTAATACTCACAAAGTTAGATCTGTTAGTGGTTAGCATTTAGATCAGATTTGTATTTTAGATTAGAAATTAAAATGTCATATTTGGGAGGACATTTTTCACCCAGAGGGTGGTGAGGCACTGAACAGGTTGCCCAAGGAGGCTGTGGATGCCCCATCCCTGCAGGCATTCAAGGCCAGGCTGGATGTGGCTCTGGGCAGCCTGGTCTGCTGGTTGGTGACCCTGCACATAGCAGGGGTTGGAACCAGATGAGCATTGTGGGCCTTTTCAACCCAGGCCATTCTATGGGTCTATGATATAACAGAGCACGTATTCTTCCAATGAAAAGGAAACTTTGGTCTTCCTCACACAAACACAGAAAATGGCCAAATTTCTGGATCTCATCTGCTTTAAGGGTGGCTTACCCTAAGCAGCCTATCAAGGAAATCCACCATCTTGTGGTAAAGCTTTACTTTTTGTAGGGGGCAAGCATGCTTACAGCACAAGAGTGGGAAAAGGCAGAGCTGGGAATGGCGACAAGCAGAGCTGTTTGCCAGGGTTTTAACCTTCTTAACGGCTGTGACTGTACCCACTGCAAGAACTCCAGCACAGAAACAAATCCCTCCACCACCACACTAAAAAGCCAAGGGCAAGTCATCTTTGCCTCCTTTTTCCTGCCCTTGCTGTTTGAAACCAGAAGGCCACTAAAGTAAACTCAGCAGAGAGATTCCCTGTGAGTGCAGAACAGAATACTGAAAACTGATAAAATTTTACCATAAATCCATCAAACAAATAAAACTATAAAACCCAACAACAGCATAAAAATTAAATGACATGAGCCACTTGAAGTGCTGTGCTTCACAGCCAATAATGGATAGCTTTTCTGGGAAGCAGTTGCTCCAATAGCATATGGTTGACAGTGGGCATTTAGCCTGCATCAATCAGTAACAACATGTTTAAAAAAATATGATTCTTCTGAGATTTTAAGTGCTGCTTTCTCTAATAAGGAAATGTAGGAATTAGGGAAGAGCAGCCAAGGAATGCAGGTGTAGAAGTCTGGTCTTTTTTCCACATACACCTTCAAAAGAGAGTGGTAAAAATAAAAATAAAAAAGCAAAGAGAATTCAACCACTTTCACATAAGCAGCCAAACAAGTCTGGAAAATATTTTAGGTAATCTGTGTGAAGAGCACAGACACAGGCTGGTATCCTAAACCCCACGCTTCAGTCCTTCCATAGCTCCTGTCTTTCCTACCATCCATAAATAAATTTCTTTTGTTAAGCTACTAAAAAACGTTTGCTGAAGCTACTGTTGGCTGACATTTCTTTCTCTCTGATGCTTTTACCTGTACCTGGGACTTCTCCTTATACTTAAGAAGGAAGAAAATGGACTTCTGACTAAATCATTGGATGGTCTGATAGTATATTTACATGCCAGTTACAAAATGAAAGAAAAGTATTTTGGAATTATAGGTTATTTTCAATAATACTCAAGGCAAATCATATGAAACATTATTAAACTATTAACAGTTTGGCTCTGGGTGCTACAGACAGTGGAGTTTTGTCTTTCACTCTTTTCAAGGTTGAGTTAGCTGTAAAATGACAATACATGAAAAATTCATTAGGAAGCACATTGTAGCAACAGAATACTAGAAAGAGCAGCCCATACTAGATAAATGGAGACTGATTAAATAGGGTATTGAAGACTATCCACTGGCTACTGACTTGATACAGTATTACAGAAGAAGAAATAAGATTGGTGCTTCAGGGGGAAAAAAAAACGAAAAACCAAAAAGCCAAGAACAGCTTCTTTCTTCCTATTTGAAGGCAACCCAAGCCCGACTCCCTCATCTTCAGTTGAAAAAAGGCTTATTTTCCTAGAGAAAGAGAAAAAAAGGCAGCTGAAGTATAGTTACACCTACTAATTCTTGCAATAAAAAAATTAGGAAGGAAGAGAAAGGGGAAGTAAAGATACTCCTACCTTGATTAACAGATCTTTTGTTTCCTTTTGCTGACGAGCAGGCTGTCTCTGTGAGGATTTGTACACTTTAGGATGATGACAGAAAAGTGAGAAAAAGAAAGGATATGCCCTCGACAAACAAGCTTTAATAAAATTATTCCTGAATGTAGACAATATTTCTGTATAAACCATGCATACACGGAATACCTCCACGTGCCTCCCACAACAGAATCAGCATTTTCACTAAGACACACTTGTATGACTGTCAGATTTATTCTATACAACTTGTTTCCAACGTTCTGTACCTCGACATCCTGAACACTGGATAAAGAAGTTGATTAAATCCAGAAGTGCTATGTCCCTGTCTTGCTTATATGATTCAATCCAGTCGTCCACCACAGACTGTCAAGAAAAAAAGAATACTGATCAGACACTCTTAAAAAAACATTTTATTAAAGGCAAAGTATTTGTTCTTTTCAGAATCTAATTTCATAACTGAGAATTTATTTTACATAATTATATGTGTATACAAATACAGAAATCTATACACCTTCTCTCATCTCAGGGTGGAGACAGAACAAATATTGTTAGAGAGAAGAACTATATGCACTGTTTTCCATATTATAATCACATAAAACAGATTCAAATTCCAATTACTTTAATTCCTGAAAATTCTACTTGCAGTATTTATCCAGTTTCACCCTTGCATAAAAAAACAAAGACTATGATTACATACAGAATGACCAACATACATGCCCAGGAAACTAATGAGCAGAAATCATTTGGGGATTAAAAAAAGGAATTTACACTGCATAATGAACATGTCAACATTTATAAAGGTCTAAATACTGTATCAATTATTCAGAAACACATAGTTCAAGAAGACAGAATGAAATGAAGAATATTTTGGAAACAAAACCAATACACAGAAGTTGCTTTTATAGTGTTTGGAAGTCATTAAGCCACCCGAGTCCCAGTATACGAAGCAGAGTCAGTCTCAAACCGTGCTCAGAACTATATATAGTCAGGAGATATCATCACTGATCAGCAGGCACAGCACGTGGTCATTGCTATGAATAATAGCAGGGGAGAGGACAGAAAGCACACAGGTGTCGAGGTTTGTCATTTGTCATGTATGAATCTCTGGGGACAAAGAACGTGCTTCAGTGGCTTGACGAAAACATCCAATAAATGAATTTAGCCAGTCAACATAAAAGTGCCATCACATCACTGGAAAGAGCTAAGTGCAGATATACACCAGCTGAAATGAATGCAGAAACACGCAATGAATGGCAAAGCCTATAGCTGCCTCCCTTACACTTTGCCCTACAGTCCTGACTACAGAACTATCAATGCTGGGGAGACCCATGATTTTTAAACCTCCCAAAGTCACAAAAATGAAGCAACAAGGAAGAACCAAACAAAGAAACTGGAAATGACTTTAAAACTACAGTAAAAAAAGCAAAAGGGTTGTGTGGGTTGCTGAGGTCTGTCTTTAGCAATACATGAATGACTTCCTTCCATGTCACTGGTACACAATATTATTAAAGCTTTCTATTCTGACTTCCTCAATAACACAAACAGGGACTGTAGTGAATTGTACATGCTTAATGTAACCACAATATCATGTTTTACTCATTTCATTAGGAGAAAAAAAAACCTTACTGCTCCATACATAAGATAGCACTCACCAGGAGAAACACGATGAGGCTTTTGGAGCATATCTGACAAATGGATTCTAGTATTTTGGAGTTCGGGTTTATAATGCATTTCTTTCTATGTATTTGCAAGAACAGCATCTGCAAAATTAGCCAATATGCTCCATCTTTAACACAAGTCACTACATTTACACTTAACCCAAGTCAGGATAAGACTGTCAGCAGTTATTCAACAAGCAGCATAAATCCCTACGCATCCAAATTGCCAGGAAACTAAGTTTTTGGAGGTTCTGTCTACCAACACACTCACACACATGCACAGTAGAGGAAACCTCAAGATGCACTATATGCTCCTCAAAAGGAAACGAAATAGGAAGACTTGGCTCAAATTAATCTTATTGAGAAAACACAAAGCATCAGCACAAAACTATTCAGAATGCTTCACTATTATTTCAGCACGAATGTAGACCTGTTCCTCTTAGTACCAATCATCTGCAGAATTCTCCCCAGCACATAAAACCAAATATAGTCAAGTGTGACATTTTTTTACTAAACCAAATATTGACAAAGCTTAATGACCAGCCTGCTGGTGTACTAACAAGACATTTGTTTGAACAGCTTTATTAGTGTAACTATCAGAACAACACGTAATTGCCAGCTTAAAAAGCAGCGGCCGGGCCGGGTCAGCCCACAGGTTCTGGCCCAACAGGTCTTATTCAATCAGGTAACAACTCACTGGTACTTCCAGACATTCTCCCAGACCCTTAATCTACACCTCAGAAGTTTCCTTGTCTGTGAATATTGTTCCACACGCTTCATTTCTATTGCAAAGAACGTGTCTGTGAACCTGAAAACTTTACCATCTACACCATTTGGTTGCAGTGTATCTCAAGAGTTAATTATTCACCACAAAAAAAAAAAAAAGGAAAAAAAAGAGTAACTTCTGTTTTAAATTTGCCAGGAGCTAGTTCTACTCAATGCCACCTAATTCTTACAGAAGAGAACTCAAACCTCCAGCCCAATTTACATTCTCCATGCTTCCATCACATTCTCCATTAGCCTGCTCTCGGGCAGCAGCACCCCTCTCATGCTGCCGTGACTTGCACTGAAGCACTTCCATATTTTTACCTTTGCTCTTAACATTCTGAAGTTTACTGTCTTTCTTTTTCAGCCTGGGAAATCTCAGGTGATTTTGATGTGTTAGAATCTAGTTCTCAGCCAGTGACTGTGCACCACCCAATGTCACTGAAGCCTTCCCTGTAGAAGCAAGGCTCACCTGAAAGATTCTTTTCCAACTTCAGTTTTGCTCCTGACTGTCGCTATGACATTCTGCCCCTTCAGCTATAGCACTGCAAGAGCTTCTGCACTGTGCTATAAATTACATCAGTGAACCCATCTGCCTTAAAAAAGAGGATGCAGAGGGAGACTCAGAGGAAGATTTTCCTGTTTTGATTCTAGTCATTTCAAACAAACTTTCTGTTTGTAAAAAGTTCCTCAAACATCAATGACCTTCTGCTTTTTTTCTTTTCTTTTTTTCTTTGGTCTTTTCATGCAACTACAATTAGTGAGGGATGAGCTGTGGCCCTGAGCACTAAGCACCCACTCTGTCCTCACTAGCATGGTACTTGCTGTGCTAAACTGAGAACCATGATGCAAAGAAGAACAGAGACAAAAGATCTCAAGTCCTGCAAACCAGACGAGAAGCACTGCAGAGTCTCCAGCACCAGCAGCAGATAGAGAACAGTAAAATCAGAAGTAATGCTTAGAGCAGGGACAGCAGGCAAAGACTGCTTCTTGTACCACCTGAACCTTGCAGAAGGCTGACAGAAAAACTGAGCCAAAATTTCTAATGTTTGGGTATAATTTGCCCCACCTTACTTTATGTGCACAGCACACGAAGTCACAGCCAGTCTTAAACTCAACAGTGTAAACATATATTCATTGTACAATGGCTGCTCCGAAAGCAAAGCCTCCTATTTTATGAGGTTGGCCCATGACACCAGAGGTGGGTGTTGGTGGGACGGCAGCAGAGGTTGAACCTTCCCACCAATATTCTGTTATGTCTTGTTACCATGTTGCAGATGGCAGCAGAGGGGCAGTCTGACAAATAGTGTCTGACATGGAGGTGCAGATGAAGCAAAGATGTGTCACTGAATTCCTCCATGTGGAAAAAGAGAACACAGTGATATTCACTGACTCTTGCTGAACATCTCTGGAGACCAACAGTGGATGTAGCACAGTGAAGGGTAGGCAGTGCTCTTCAGCAGTGGCAACAACTGTCAACTCTGCTGGTACAGATTATTGTGAGTGCAGCATGCAGGGCCTTGTCCATTGCTGGCAAAAATGCATAGCTGATGGTGGTGCTTGTGTTGAAAAAGAGTGTTTTGTAGCTGAGAATTCGCTCCATCAGATGGTGGTATGGTTCTCACTGTTATAGTTTCCATGAGGGAAACAGAGGCATTACTTTGGGAGCAACCTACAGACTTACATGTATATCTATATCTAGTCAATATTCAGTAAAATCTACAGTATAATTAATCTGTCCAGAACAGGAATGCACTGTGAGGCAAGATAACTCCTGCTAAAGGCTGCTCATGATGACACCAAGCAGTGCCCTGCTGGCTGCCTGGGGAGATGGGGGTGACAAAGAGGCACCTCACCCCATGGCACCAGTGCACAGCTACACAAACTGTGCTCACTAATCCTGGAATCCTGGAGGAGGGCAAGCATTTCCTAATGGATTTCAATTCAATTTCAAAATGGAAGTAACACCTGTAGATCTACATAATTCAACCTCTCATACACATTTGGCATGCTTACTGGTAGGGGTTTTTTTTTAGAGATTACAGTTTAAGGCAACAGGAGATAATGAAGCCAGACTACATATGCTACAACAGTTGGAACCTAATCAAACTGTTAACTTTTGATGTAACAGAAAGGAGCTATAAACCAGAAAACATTAGGATGAAAATAAGAAAAAGATACACGTCACACCCAAAATAGAGACAAATACCAACTGAACCAAGAGAAGACAGCAGTAATCCAAACAGAGGTTGAATAGAGAAAAAGAAATCGGGCAGGCAATAGTGTAGCAATGGGTGCAACAACGAATCGCTGCCAGAAAAGGAATTTTTTTTGCTAAACAAAGACTGCCATTAAGAACAAAGACTTCTTGCTGACAATCCACAGGTTAAAACCAACCCTTCCAAATCAACTGATCTTGTTACTGTTCTCATTCCAGCAATCCCATTTTCAAGGGTATCCCAGACATAAGCAACAAACTACACTGACAATTCTCATAGCAACAACTCATTTCCTGGCCCTTTCCCTGTCACCTCCCCTACACACAGAATTGATGTTGGAGCGAAGGCACTGGGAGAGGAAAGGCTCAGAGAGCTCTTTGCAAAAGAGGCAGCTGCAAGTGAGCTCCATCCAGCAGAAGAATTCACCCCAAAGTCCTGTTGCCTACTTCAGCAAAACAGTTAGGAAAGGAGGCACAAACAGACCGCATGAGTTGTGCTGCTGGTACCCCTCTGCTGCCAGGAGTTGTGACTTTCAGATGTAGTAGAGAGTGTTGATCTACCATAGGGAAAATAACACTTAACAAGATAAATACAGCATTCCTGGGAAGCGTGACATCTATAGTACAAGTTCTCCAGGTGCAGGAAACCAATGCTTTCGAGATCACCAAATGCAATGAATGTACACAACAAGGAAAAGGCCCTTGACAACATTATGATGGAC